TTTCTGCAGCAGCCGCGCGGCACTCTTCGTCGTACCAGTTGTTTCTGCGCGGTTTGTAGTAACCAACAACCTCTTCCGCAGCGGTGCGAAGGGATTGGGATATGGAGTCCCACTGCTCATTTATGTCCAGGCGATGAGGAGTTGCTTGATTAAGCAGGATTGAGAGTCGGTTGCTAAATTTTACGGCTGTCCATTGTGACTGCAGCTTTGCGATGTCGAACTTTCGTCGCGTTGCCTGCCGCACGTTTTTTATTGCACAGAGGCGCATGCGGACCTTAGCTGCAACAAGGTAGTGATCCGAGTCGATGTTGGCACCTCGGATAGAGCGCACGTCAAGAACGCTCGAAGCGTATCTTCCATCTATCACAACATGATCAATTTGGTTCTTTGTTCTTTGATCAGGGGACACCCAAGTTGCTTTGTGGATCTTTCGATGCTGGTGTCTGGTACTACTGACTACCATGTTCCGTGCCGCGGCGAAGTCGATCAGCCTCTCTCCGTTGTCGGAGGTGTTGTCATGAAGGCTGAAATTTCTGACTGTTGGACCAAATATGCCTTCTTTGCCCACCCTGGCGTTAAAGTAGCCCAGAACGATTTTAATATCGTGGCAGGGGCAGCGCTCATACGCTTCTCCTAGACGCTCATAGAAAAGCTCCTTAGTCTCGTCGTCCTTCTCTTCCGTCGGGGCGTGCACACAAATTAGGCTGATGTTGTTAAATTTCGTCTTCCGCCTTTCGCGATTCGCTCACTGACGGGCGTGAACCGGGGACAAGGTGTCGAAGTCTCCGCCCAACCACAAATCCTACACCAAATTTGTGCGCCGTCTCATGGCAGCTGTAGTAGATGTCGCATGCTGCAAACTTTTTGCCGCCATGCCCCGTCCATCGCATTTCCTGAACTGCGGTGATGTCAGCCTGGTATTTTGTTAGTACATCCAGCAGTTGGATAGAAGCACCTTCCCTATAGACGGTCCGGACATTCCAGGTGCATATCCGTAATTCATAGTCCATGTTCCGTTTGCGGGGGTCGTCAACGTGTGGGGATGCAGTTATCCGAGGCTTTTTTTTTTTTTTTTTTGGTCTTTTCATTCGCAATATTTTTTACGTGGCGGGTCCCAAACCCAGCGCACAACCATTGCTGGGGTGGATGGTATTCAACCGGATACACATTTGTATAGCGGGCCGCTTGCTCCAAGACAGACGCCCGCTTGCAGCCGCACCTCCTGGTGAGCAGACGCTGCAGACTTCAGTGAGCCCTTAAACCGAATAAGTCGGAGTGGCCCCACCAAAGCTCCCTCTCTTTCTGCCGTGACCCAAGGCTCCACTCGGCTTGGTTACCGCATCTTGCGCATGGGTTGCTCACGTTGCCCAGAGTGCGCGAACGAGGACGCAAGAGTCGGGATTGAGTATAGCCGTGCGACTGTAACTGCATACCCAGCACAACGACTATACCCCATTGCACTCCTTGACAGATTTTACTTGGACGAAAACACATGTTTTAGGTCGAAAACCAGTTCTACCAACGAAAACATGTTTTCGATGTCGGTCAGAACATGGGTTAACAGCCGGTGTGAACAGCCTTTTCAGTCCACAATTCCAAAACTCGTTTTCAAAGTGTTTTCGTTGTCGGTCAGAACATGGTAAAAGACGTGCGTATAAACGTAGTATGTTTTTCGTATCGATACTAAAGCTTGTTGCCTGTATATGTACGTACATGCATGCATGATTCCTGTGAGGTACAAGTGTTTGATTGTATCAAATTGTTCGAATCGATACAAAAATATGTTGCGGGTATACATATGTATGTATGTACATTAGGGCGGGTCAAATTTTTTGCATCAAAGGCACATCGCGATTATGGTTATTTGGATCATTTCAAGCATTTTTGCCCAAGAAACCATAGGTCTAAAATGAATCCATTTACGTCATTATTTTTTCCTTTTGAAGGCCGCCAGAGGGCGCTTCCGTACTGTTTTTTGGATTTTAACGCCTTTTTTCCGAAAATCGACAACATTGTTGCGAAAATCCACGAACTTTTACTTTCCCATAAAGCAATTTCAATTTTTAAATAGTCTAAAATATTCAGCGTTGAAAATTAGGGGGAAGGGATGCGTATTCATGCACAACTTAAGTATATCGATTTTATTCAATTTAGGACAAAAAAATCGTTTTTTTTCATTTGCTCTCTTGCATGTTACAAAACAATTTTTTTCTTATTTTAATATATTTATTTTTTTTTATTAAAATTCAACTTAAAAGATAAAAACATATAAAATTTATATGAAACAAAAACTGATAAACAATTTCTAATGTTTAAATTTTTAAATACGTATAACGTATTTTTCTTTAAAATTATGTTGGTAATACAACATATGACATGCGTGACAACATGCTTTTTCATTTTCATACTGTGTTCGTTATAGTTTGAGCGTAATTTCAATGAAGTGTAAACAATAAAGATCTTTCATAAAGGTAAATAATATAAAATCAAATAAATCAGCCACAAAGGAATAAACTATTTAAGAAAATTAAAAGGTATATATTAAAACACTTACTAATAATAAAAAAAGTGCATAGCGTAAGCTAAAAAGGAGTAATTTGGTTTTGTGCAAAAAAAGTGTTGTTTGCTTTGTTTTTTTGTTTGGTAATGTGTTAACGGTGTTTTTTTCAATTCAAAATTCTACGTAGAATGTATGAGTGATATTTTTTTATTTTGATTTCACAAAAACTAACAAGAAAAATGTATGGAAGGAACAATATTTTCAACTGAAAAAAAGGCAACGTTTTTAAAATAAATTTATTTCAGTTAAGACTATGGATTCAGAACCTTCTACATCGCAAGCCGCAGCAACATCACCCAGTACCGAAAGTGAAAATACTTTGAAACATATGCCTACTCACGATGTTGGTGTTTTCGGTGTGTCTTGTGATTTGAGTGGTCTCAATCTGCCAAGTACGCAAGATATTTTGAGATATTATTTTTTCTTGGCCGATCGTGCTCAAATCGAAAGTAAAATTAAATAAAATTTAATTGATAAATAATTTATATTGTTGTAAATTAAATAATAATTTTCAACGGTGAACATTTTAGGCAATTTAAAAATTGCTGGCTCGAAATTCATTTTCGACCTATGGTTTCTTGGGCAAAAATGCTTGAAATGACCCAAATAATCCTAATCGCGATGTGCCTCTGTTAATTTTTCTGGGCCCTTCCAAATCGACCCGCCCTAATGTACACGTATGCATATGGACGAACGAACATTTCCTTATAGGGAGTTTACATGATTCAACTTTCACAGGCGATTAGTTGAACCAAAAGTTGAACGAAAGTAGGCCGCCGACCAACTTCATTGAAAGCGATTAGTTGAAAGGCCGTTTACACCAGGCGATTGTTGCTTTCAACTAAAAATCGCCTGAAAAATCGCCTCATGTAAATTCCCTATTACGCTGCAAGATTTGTTGCGATGATTCTTGTGAGGTACAAGTGCTTGTATCAAAAGTAACGAGTAAACGATACGAAATATACGGGTGTTGATTGGGTTAGTAACGAATACATACCGGTATTCGAACTTTCGTTACTTTTACAGCTCTAGTTGCTAGTCAACCGATTTCTTGACGTGGTTATTGTTAAGCGAAGCGCACATTGCCCAAAAATTACAACAATGCTACCCATACATTTTAATGCGCTAGCGCACACTTGCACGATTCCGTCGCTGCGAATTTTTCGAACATTCAATGTTCTCCTCTTTTGACGCATGCAAAACGCAGCTGACAGCGATTTGAAAGCGGCAAAGAAGAGGAAAACAACGTAAAAACATTTAATTCAAAGAAAAAAAATGGTTGATGTCGAAAAACTAATAGAAAACGTGCATAACAATCCCATTTTATATGATGTTACACACGCTGAGTACAAAAACATAAGAAAAAAGACAAAATATGGGAAAATATCGGAGTGGAGTTAAAAGAAAGTGGTAAGTTTGATATATAAAAGTGAGAGTGAAGTTTGTATTGTATTTAACCTGCAACTTTAACATTTTTAGGGGAAAATATAAAAAAAAGGTGGAAGAACTTGAGAGACACGTATGGGAGATATATTCGAGCTACCAAAGGTAGAACTGGTCAAGCAGCCAACTCAAAAAAGTGGGTTTGGGCTGAACATATGACAGCTTTCCGTCCATATATTGCTTTTGCACCTACCAGTTCAAATATAAGTGACATCGAGTGTGTAGAATCCAACGAAACCATTATTGGAACACCGGAGCTTGACAATTTCAGCGTGGATTGTGCTCCAGTAAAAGTAAACCGCACTCAAAGCGCTAAAAATCATCCATTTACTCAACAAAGTTCTGTCGGAGAGTTAATTGAATATTTTGAAAAGAAAAAAAAAGTTGAACAGGACTCTATTGATTGTCTTTTTATGGCCCATTCTAAAACAGTGAAGAGTTTTTCGAAACGACGGCAGCTTTTAACGAAACAGAAAATTTCTGAAATAATAATGGAACAAGAGATGTTGGAGCATGATGAAGCCATCAGTTCATCGACCCCTATTTTTCGTAATCTTGAGACTGACGCGGAATACGTTTTTAGTGATGATAACAGCACATACTCCAAATCAACTGTCGACCTCACTTCGCCTTCAGCTATTGCTCCATATATCAACCCTTTTAATCATTCTTCTGCACATATGATCCTCTCGAATGAAATTATTTAGCTTACAAATTACAATGCGAACCAAGAGAAATATGTTATTTTTCAAGCTTTTGTACCTTGCAATGCAAAATTTTACTGCATTATTTACCAAAACCAAAAATACAGCAAATACACTGTACAAGAGCATGTACAACAAATCCCGAATACCTCTATTTTGAATGTATGTATTTATTTACTATGGAAATGCGAATTTTTTAAAGTTAACTAATTCAGTATTTTTTTTTGTGAATTGCAACAAGCCCATTTCCAATTAAATGCTGTGTTTTTATTTAATGGAATTCATTTCGATGTGTTTATTTAATAAAATTTATTTGTTTTTATAAACATTTTTGTATTTATTTTATAAACGTGCATGTTATTCAAATACAGGTTCAGTGGTATTTTGAGCTCGTTCGCTCCCAACGGTTCCAGCAGTAGGCTCATGTTGATTATTAAAATACGTTACAAAAAGTTCACGAGTAGAAAATGCCAAATTAGATGCACGGCGTGAATCAGTACTCATACCAATAAAAGGTTGAGTTCGAGGCTCTGGTGATTGTAAGTTGTGGAATAGGTGGGAGTCGCTTTTTTTTTCAATTAAATAATTGTGCAAAACACACGCTGTTTTTATTGTAAGTATCGTAGTGCTAATTTTGGTTTCAATAGGACGAAAAAATATGCGAAACTTTTGAGCCAAAATGCCAAAAGCATTTTCCACAACTCGTCTGGCTCGACAAAGTCTGTAGTTATATTTTTCTTTTCGTAGATCATGTTTTGATTGCTTGTATGGGAATGGTCTCATTAAATAAGGCTTTAAGCCAAACGCTTCGTCCGGTCGCGCCAGTCGGTTTTTAATTAAAATGCTGATGCTTTAAATTTTTTTATTTTCGTGACTTGTTCTAGTGCAGCTAAAAATATTGCTTTTACACGTAATTACTCAGATATTATTGGGGAATATTCCCTTAATTATATATCTGTCTTGGACACTTAGAATGGGCCTAGTGCCCGAAAATGTGCTTTCGAAAAGAGACTGCTATATTAAAACGTTGATACTGAACGTTTTAAGCATTGCGATGGGTTCAAACTCGGAACTCGGTAATTTTTGGATCGCTGATTACGAATCTGAAGTCAATTTTCAAAATTAAAATTAGCGGATCCAATTTCCAAAAATTACTAAAATCAAAACGTTGATACTGAAAGTTTTAAGCATTGTCATGGGTTGAAACTTGTTACCAGTGGGTTTCTGTGTACGAATCCGATGTCAGCATATTTTCAAAATTTAAAATGGCTGATCCGAATTCAATCAATCTTTTTTTAACTGATCGCCATATTGGGTCCGCCATTTTGAATTTTGAAAATTTGACATTAGGTGCGTATTCAGCGACCCCAGAAACCCCCTTGTAACGAGTTTGAACCCATGACAATGCTTAAAATGTTCAGTATCAACGTTTTAATTTTAGCGGTCTCTTTTCGAAAGCATTTTTTCGGGGACTAGGCCCATTCTAACTGTCCAAGCCAGGTATCTAATTAAAGGAATATACCTCAGTAATACCTGAGTAATTACATGTAAAAACAAGATTTTTAGCTACCCTATAACATGTCACGAAAATAAAAAAATTTAAAACATCAGCGTTGTTATAAAAATGCCGATTAGCGCGACCTCCCAAGAAAATTTTTTTATCTCTTTTTTCAAAATAAGAAAATACGTGATTCTTTTTTCTCACAAATTACAATATTTTGATGTAGCGTTTATGAATTTCCAAAAATAGTGTTTTTTTGAACCACTCTAATCAATATAGTTACTCAGTGACTTTTACATCGCCTTAAAACGTCTGTACTGAACATTCATCCACTTCACACTTCCACTCGAACAATTGGCCGTGTAAACGTTGCAAACCCTCAACTTTTGCGAAGCGATTGGAGCGTGAATACTTTGCTTTATGTCGACTTTGGCGCCTTCTCGCAATTTTCGCTCACGGTGCAGCGAACAAAGGTGGCGCCATCAGTGGTACCGCTACTTTGGTTTTGCCGATTTCGACAGTTGGGGTAACTTGTAAATAAACCTTTGTTTACAAATCAGCGAAAGAGAAATTTGAATTATAAGTGAAAAATCAGTTTAAATTGTGTTAATTTGCAATTTGTGAGTGATTTTTGAGTTGAAGACTGCGTAAAAACTAATAAAATGTGGTGCTGTGTGTTAAATTGCGACAGCTTGATGATACAAGATGCGTGTATACAACTGTAGCGCTGGGACGAATTGCTGCATTTTGTGTACATAGGCCACGGCAAAGCCGTTCCCGAAATGATTCTTTATTATTACATTAACAGCATTTCCTTACAATGATTTTGCTTCTGCTCCAAGCAGCCTCCATTAGCAAGTTAACTAATCAGTCCCGCTGAGATGCAGCAGCCGTAATTGCAAAGCAATGGAGTGCACTAAAACGTTTGCTGAAGCAGCCTCAACTGCAAGGCAATGGAGAGCACTAAAATGTTACCTATTCTCTAATAGATTACGTAGAAATGCAATATTTTCGCATTTAGTTAAATTAAAACACGTTTTTCGCTTTAAAGTGAACTGTTTGGCAGTTTCAACTCGTTCTTCTTTTCGCCGTATTCATTGTTTACTTATGGTACACAAATGTCAACGCCCAGGACGGCGCAATCTTGTGTTCTATCATTCTTGATTTTCGCTGGCAATTAAGTTGCCAAAAACACAGGGCGATTCTTATTAGGCATAAACCTAGAGGAAAAATTTCGGAGCAAAATTTAAGTTGGTATCGGGTTTCAATACGAGTACTTTTATTTTTGAAACCTACTCAGTATTTGGTTCAAAAGTATCGAGCAAAATTACTTGGTATTGAACGAAAGGTATTAGTTACGTTCCAGCAGCAATACGAATAGCAGGAATTTGCAGGATTTTACAGGAAGCTGTTCCCGCACGACGTCTTACATAAGGTTTATTAATGGCGAAAACAGCTGTTCCTGTAAATCCTGTAAAAACCTGCTATTCGTACTGCTGCTGGAACGCAACTATTGAGTATGTACTTGTATTTACTCGTATTATTTCATCTCTATCCAAAAGTATATATCTTGGAACTCATTAGCTGTGTTACTTAATAGATAATTGTCAAAAATTATCACTGGAAAAAAAATAGCAGAAACTAGCAGCTCTCTCTCGTTTTTACGCTCCTATTTTTTTGGCTCTCCTGCTATTTCTGCTGGTAAAATTTTTCTAGCAGAAACTAGCAGCTGTCAAAATGGATAAACAAAAATTCGCGCCAATATTTTCAACAGTAAAATACATCAATCAGCTGTTTACTTGCTAGTTTCTGCTAGCTTTGCGTTTCTGTACTATTTCTTTATTTCCCTATCTCTGAGCGCAATTCCCTCAATTTTCCCATTCTTCATCTTCCTGATAATTATCTGCTAGAAAAGAAAAGAAACAAAGCCATTGGAAACGACGGGCTACGGACCACAGCTGTCAAATTATTTTAACACGTATTCTTATGTAGATAAATATTTTGGCGACGACATAGCAACACTGCGACTAGCCAAAGATGTAGCTTACAGTGGTTTAACCATTTTTTTTTTTTTTGGAAATTCATAAATGCTATCTCAAATTATTGCTATTTGTGATAAAAAAGGGAAACGTGGTTTTTTTTATTTTGAAAAAAAAAAGTTTTCTTAGAGCTCGCGCTGGTAGGTTTTTTATAAAAACGCTTATGTTCTCAATTTTTTTATTTCTATGAGATGTTAAAATGCAGCTAGAAATATGTTTTTTACATATAATTACTCTGGTATTATAGGTGAACATTCCCTTAATTACACACCTGTCTTGGGCAGTTACAATAGGCGTAGTGCTCGAAAATATGCTCTCGAAAAAAGACTAGTAAAATTAAAAGTTGGTACTGAACGATTTACGCATTGCCATGGGCTGGAACTTGTTACCATGGGGTTTCTGGGGTTGCTAATTTGGAATCTGAAGTCAGTTTTTCAAAATTCAAAATGGGCGATCCAAAATAGCGATCCATTTGGGGTCGCCGATTACAAATCTGAAGTAAATTTTTTTTATTTAAAAAAGGCCGATCCAATATGGCGATTAAATTAAATAAAAACAGTACTAAAATTAAAACGTTGATACTGAACGTTTTAAACATAGTCAAGGGTTAAACTCGTTTCCAGTGGGTTCCTGAGCTTTCTTATTATGAATCAAAATGGCGACCAGCTAAAAAAAAATGATTGGATTTGTTTGAGACTCTTAACCGCCATTTTGAATTTTGAAAATCTGACATCAGATTCGTAATCAGAATACCCAGAAACCCACTGGAAACGAGATTCACCCCTTGATCATGTTTAATGCAGCGTTTTTGCTGCATTTAAAATTCAACATTTAGCACTTACGAACATATGTTTTCGAAGAGCGTTCATGCTATCGCATTTAGCAAATGTACATTTGCGCGAGTTCGAAATCGTAAGCTTTTGACAATCAGCCGTGTTCCAGTCGCTTATTCAGATCCGTATCTATTACGATTAATTCTCACGCCGAAGATAATGTGCAAAAACCCTACTGAAAAGGGAAAAATAAATTTTAAACCAAAACTTCAATACAAAGACTTGAATTGTTTTAAACACAACCGAACATTTGTTTGTGTATATATTAATTTTGTCGGTGCTGTCAATTGAAATTTCCTCAATTAAATAGGAAACAAAACAAACAGAGGTGATCACAAATTGAACCAGATTTCTATTAGCATCACATCGATGTTGAATTTGCGTAACTTTTCTTTATCCAAATAATGTAAAATAATAAATGAAATCTCGATCGGCGATTACTGAAACGCAGATAGCCACTGTATACGCGAAAAGGCAATGTTGCCACTTTTTCTCATTAAAGCATGTTCGAAACGTGGAAATATTGGAAGATCACAGGGTTGCTTTTAGCATTTAGATTCTTAATGCAAAAATTAAGTTGCATTTAGTTGTATTTAGATGACGAATTTTGTATGGATAAATGCACATTTAGGGCCGTTTGCACCATGTCTAGTTAACGCTAACTGGAGGTACATCCTTCAGTTAAGCACGTTAACTGCTTTATCGATCACATGTTATATGATGGGTGTCGATAACGTCGATAAAGATGTTTAACTGGGAGTTAGAATTAACTAGACATGGTGCAAACGGCCCTTAGAGTAGCATTTAGAGCTAAATGCGCTAACTGTGCTTTTAAGCGTAAGCAAAAAAGCCCATAAAACGTTCAGTATTAACGTTTTAATTTTAGTAACTTTTTTTTTAATTTGATTGCCATATTGAATCAGCCATTTTGAATTTAATCAAGTTGATTTCAGATTCGTAGTCGGCGACCCCAAAAACTCTCGAGTGCCGGGTTTCGAACAAATCCAATCATAAAAAAAAACTGGATCGCCATTTTGGATCCACCATTTTGAATTTTGAGAAACAGACTTCGGATTCCTAATTAGCAACACCAGGAACCCCATGGTAACAAGTTCCAACCCATGACAATGCGTAAATCGGTCAGTATCAACGTTTTAATTTTACTAGTGTCTTTTCGAGAGCATATTTCCCGGAACTATGCCCATTCTAATTGTCCAAGACAGGTGTGTATTTTAGGGAAAGTACCCCAATAATACCAGAGTAATTATATGTAAAAACCACATTTTTAGCTGCATTTCAACATGTCAAGAAAATAAAAATATTGGGAACATAGTGTTTTTATAAAAAATCGATCAGTGCGACCTCTAAAAAACTTTTTTTTCAAAATAAAAAAATACGTGTCTCTTTTTTTATCACAAATAACAATATTCTGATGTAGCGT